CCCCAGGAACTTATTCCTGAGAAACTAACGACTAGGAATCTAGTCCTGACCTAACTTTCATGGAGTACTTTATTGGATATCATTTCATGTATAATACCTTAATCAAGTCAGCTAGCCTCTCGAACACTCATTTTCCCTGGCCTGTGCCAGTCTTTTTTTAGGTAAGCAGTAAGTAAGACGTGTTCTAATAGTACTAACTAGAACAGTGGACTTAGAGCAGGAGGATTGGTTAGAATGGGAAAGCAGGCTGTTTGTCACACAGGGTTCTGCCTTTGTCCTTCTCCCTTTCATCTCCTTCCTTTGACCAGTTGCCAAGTTGTTATATCAAGACATCACAAGCTCTCGCTCTCTCCCGGGGGCACACTCACACCTTTCTTCCCCCTTTCTTTCTCAGGTGTGCTTCCCCTCCCCCCCCCCCCCCCCAAGTTCTAAGGGTCCCCATGAGACTTGCAACCAGGGGAGCAATGGGCAGTGGCATCTAGTCTTGACCCAGTCTGAGCCCTGAACCGGTCCCCAAGGCTTCCTTTTTTCTGACTCTCCACTGAGCTGACAGCAGCACCACCTAGGCTTTCTCTGTTGCTGCTGCTCTCCTCACTAAGCCCTTTCTTGTTTTGTTCTCTCCAGCTTTAATAAACGTACTCTCCAAAAGATAAAAACATCACAAGCATTTGCCCACAATTGATGCATTTGCTGTCTCCATTATAAGATACATTTTAATGAAGATCATTAAAAATGGGCAAAAAAATAGATGAGTGGATAAAAAAGCTGTGGTACATTCATACCATGGAATACTATGCAGCAGTAAAAAAGAATCTCTTATCTTTTGAGATAGAGTGGAGGGACCTGGAGAGTATCATGCTAAGTGAAATAAGTCAGTCAGAGAAAGGTAACTATCGTAGGATCACATTCATATGTGGAACCTAAGTAACAAAATAAGCTGATGAACAGAGTGGATCCAGAGACATGGAAGCGTAGAACAGAGTGCAGAATCTGAGGGAAGGCGAGGGAGGGTGGGTGGCGGGGAGGTAATCAACCAGAGACCATATATGCATAACCCATGGACACGGACAATACAGTGCTGAAGGCCTGGGCGGGAGCTTGGGCAGGCTGGAGGAGATCAATGGGGGAAAACGGTGGACACATGTAATACTTTCAACAATAAAGAATCATTTTTTAAAAATGGGGAAAATAAATGTTCTGAGAGGGTAAATGACTTGACTAAAGTAAATGAAATGATATTCAGTAAATTAATTTCTTGGAAGCCCTTTTTCTTGATTTTTTTTTTTGTGCTCTTCTTTGGGCTAGTTTTTATTTTAGTGATTGTTTTATAGATATTAGTGTGAACTGTAAGAAAAAACTCTAGTTTTTCTTCTCTTTGTTGACTGGATTTCACGACAGTACATTTCAGTGTTAGATTCACAGATGGCTTCAGTGGTCACTGTGGACAGTTTTGTTAAAACACTTCATGATAGGTAAAACATTGTAGCCATTTGAAGCTTTAAAATATGAGCTAACACCATGTTTATTTCAAACATATGTACTGTATGTTATATACATCTAGAATTCTCTGGACATTTGTAAGGAGGAGAGGTAATTATGGTAAGGCTTACTGAAGGAAAGGAAGTTTAATTAGTTCTTGAAAGGTGAAAATAATCTGATAATGTAGAGACAGGAAGAAAAACTATGTCTTAAGGAATCTACAAACAAGCTGAGAACTAATATATTCAGCAAGATTGCAGAATATAAATTCCATACACAGTAACCAGTTTATAAATGTAGTCACTAGGGAAATAAATGCAAACAAAACCACAGTGACATACCATTTTGGACCCCCTGGGATGACTATAATAAAAAAGATGGACCCCTCAGATGTTGCTGGTAGGAATATAAAATGGTGTAGTTGCTGTGGAAGACTGTCCGTATCTCAAAACATTAGGCATAACCCAGAAATTTCACTCATAGGTGTATAACCAAGAGCAGTGGTTAGCAAACTGCGGCTCGCGAGCCACTTGCAGCTCTCCAGCCACGGTTGCCACTCTTTTGATTAATGAGTTTGCTGACCACTGCTCAAGAGTATTGAAAATAAATGTAGCTGTAAAAACTTATATACAAATGTTCATTATTCATAATCCAAAAATTGGAACAACATAAATATTCATCAGCTGCTGAATGACTATAGAGACTGGTATATCTATACAATAGAATATTATTTGGCAATCACAGGGAATGAAGTTCTAATACATGCTACAGTGCGAATAAATCTTGAAAACATTGTGTCAGTGAAAAAAGACAAACATAAAGTGCTATATTGGATGATTCCATTTACATGAAATGTTCTGAATATGCAACTCAATAGAGACAGAAAGTAGATTGGTGTGAGGAGAGAGGGCAATGGGGAGTGGCAGCTAATGAATGCGTGTATTATTGGGGAGAATGGCAGTGAAGAAATGTTCTGGAATTAGTGGTGATGGCTGCTCAATGTTAGGAGTATATTAAAAACCAATGAATCATAAAAGGGAGACAAATTGGAAGTCCTGTGTCATTCTTTAATGAAAAACTAAGTATGTCAGTATACCATTCTAGGATGAGGGGCCTTTATTATTTTTCACTGTCCTTTTCAAAATCAGGGTTTAAAAAGTCGCTTCCTCTTCACATTGCAGCAGCTGCATCGTCTTAGTTTTGCTTCATGAAGATATTTTATTTTATTTTATTTTTAATTTTTTTTATTTTACCATAAAACAGTATTTATTGAGTAGAATTATAGAGTTTTATGTATAGCCTGTTGTCAGCACTTTTCTGCCCCAAGATTCTTTTTTTTTTTTTTTAATCAATCTTTATTGTTCATATTATTACAAAGGTTCCTCATTTCTTCCCCCCTCCACCAGGTTCCCACCCCACCCTCCACCCCCTCCCCATCCCCCATTGTACTCATCCATAGGTGCAGTTTATGTTCAGTCTCTTCTTCCCTCCCTTTCCCCAATAGTAAATCCCTTTTCAGATAGTAAATCAGTTACTTAGCATTTTCTCAAATCAATAATACCTCCACATGCCCAATGATACACTTCACACAAAAGACATTTCCCAATAGGTCCACCAGCCTCATCCAGGCCCCACCCAAGGCACTCACAGATCAACACCCCAGCCCTATACTAACTCCACACATCCAGATCTAAGCCTTCATCACTTGATTCAGCAGACCCTCAAGTTCGCACGAAAGTTTCCAGCCATGTCTGAGAAGCAGCCGTGGGGCAGGGGCAGGCGAGGAGCGAGCTGTTCCGGGCCTGGCTGCTCAGGGCCTGGCCTCTATTGCTCTGGTTTTTTCCACAACCAGCTGCTCCGGGTCGGGTCACTGCCGCTCCCGACCTAGTTGCTCTGGACTTGGCTGCTGCTGCTCCAGGCCTGGCCGCATCCAGCCTGGCAGCCACTGCTCCGGGCCTGGCCGCACCCGACCCGGCTGCTCCCCCGGGCCTGGCTGCTCCCAGCCTGGCAGCCGCTGTTCCGGGCCTGGCCGCACCCGACCCGAAGGTATTTTAAATCCTGCCATCACAGAGCAATGTTTCTTGGATTCCATCAACGTTTGATGCAAATTAAATTTAAAAAATATATTTCAAATTATTTAAAACATGGAATATGAAACAGTTTGCTTACTTAGATGTATTACTGTTCGTAAAATTTTACATAATTTGAATAGCAGCTGAATAACATATTAATTCATGTTTCAAGTTACCTCATTTTGTGCATGTCTTGGAATCAAGTCTTTCATGTTATTTCAATGTGTAGTACCAGACATTTGTCAAATAAACTTCATTCGATAGGACACGTGCAGTTATCAGTGCTTTAAAAAAACAACAACAGTGCCTGGCTGGCGTTGCTCAGTGGTTGAGCACTGACCTATGAAGTAGGAGATCTCGGTTTGATTCCCAGTCAGGGCATATGACTGAGTTGTGGGCTTGATACCCAGTGTGGGTGTGCAAGAGGCAACTGATCAATGATTCTCTCTCATCATTGATGTTTCTAACTCTCTATCACTCTCCTTTTCTCTCTGAAATCAGTAAAAATACATTTAAAAAACACAAAACAGTAGATGTCCTCTTTCAAAAATTTGTCAATGTAAGTATATACACATCTTGTATAGATGAGGGTTTTTTTGATATAAAGAAGCCAAAATGAAGTTCAGAAGAAACTGGAAACTGGGGCTGATATGACTGTAACTGTTATTCACATCTCCCCCACCCCCAATTGAATTTTTTGTTCTTGAGAATATCTTCCTTGTTCTCACTGACTGCCATTTGAATAAAAAAATGTAAATTTGATCTAATGTTTTAAATACATAACAATTATAGTTTTCACTGCTTCATATATTGGGATTCTGCATAAGATACCATTTAAATTTTATGCATTTGGGATTCTGGAAATTTTTCTCCACATATCAAGTTTCCTATTCCATTTTGACTTCACTCCTATTTCTCAGGGATGTTCTGAAAGCATTCCCTTCCCCACCCCCCACAAATCAAACAGCGAAGCAGGGAGGCTTCCTGCTCACAAAATATTTACTGACTTTAAATAGCTCACATCTTTTTTTTTCCTGAGGCTCTATCTCGGAGCTTGTGCTGCACAAATATTGTTGGCTGGATCATAGGGCTATTGTTGCTATGCCCAATATAAATATTTTAGTTGCTGTTTCATGAGCAGTATTTGGAAAGTGATCCGTATCCTTGTTTTAATCTCTTTTTTGCACATGCAGCAACTGAGCTACATGTGTGGGATTTCATCTCAAGTAGGTTTAGGTATGGCCCGTGACATTAGATTGTCTCCTTCTCAGCCAAAACCCGTGTGGTAAGTGGCAGCGACCACCGGCAAGGTTACGAGAGGTGGTAAGGGGGAAGGAGACAGTGAAAGAATCAAAGATCACTGTGTGCCTGATAGGTGTGGATATTTATTCACACACATTGAACCTGTTATTCAAAGCCAGTCACGTGTCCATTCTGCTCTCTTCATAGGTGATCATGGAGGAAGCACCTTACTCCCACCGAACGTCACCAACGAGTTTCCAGAATATGGGGCCATGGAGGACGGTGGAGAAGGCCTAAGAACTTCTCTCGAGTTTGATGCAGAGTCTCTGCCATGCTGCCCGCAGGGGCAGCCGGGGTTCCAGCCTCATGCTGGCCACCACCCTGGGCCCAACAGTATTACAGAAGGACCAAAAGCTGTTGCGGGGCCCTCCTCTCAAAGTCACCTCAAGGAACAAAGTTTACAACCCATAGACTCTTTGATCTCAGCTCTGAAAGCTACAGAAGCCAGGATAGCTCCTGGAACCTTACAGGCTACAAAGGTACTGGACAAAGATGCCGCTTCTAGTCTCTCATTTCAGCAGGTGGACCAAGAGCTGGACGCTGCCGGTCATCAAACACAGACAGCCAACAGCCTGTTCCCTGCCGGCCAGGAAAAACCACCAGATACACCTCTTTCAGCGGAGGTGACGACAGCGGAAGGTGTTCTTTTGCGCGCCCAGGAGGACCTGACAGCGCTGTTAAGTGGAGAAGCTCAGGGGGAGCTTTCCCGGGTAACTGCCAATGGGAGGGAAGGGGGTTTCCGAGAGCAGGAGCCAGCTTGTCCCGGGTCCTCCCTGGGGGGCCCAGCAGCAGCCCACAGCTCTGTGGGCAGCACTGGCTTCCTGAGAGAGGGGAGGTCTGACCTGCAGAGAGAGCACGCAGGGGGATGTGATCGAGGCAGCTCCACGGGACGGCCTGGCCGGGTCAAACACGTGGAATTTGAAGAGGTGGAAATATTGTGGACAGGAGGGAAGAAAAGAGAGACCCGGCAACCTGTGGATTTTGTGACATCCTTGGAAAGGACTACCTCTCCCGAAAATATGGGGTTTTCCAAAGTGCCAAGCCACCTCATCTCTTCTGCTGGTTTGTGTAATTCCGTTGGTCTCACTGAGCGTGCTGGGGGCGACACCTGGAGAGGTGCCTCAGAGAGGCCTGCCACCAGCTCGGGGACATTTCCCTCCGCACCTCTTATTGAGAGTGGAGAGGATGAAGTCTTCCTGAAGGAAAACAAAGACTATCTTGAGGAGAAGCTTGAACTGGAGAGAGACAAAGACAGGTGAGCTCCCATAGTCCTACCGTTTGTGGTGCCTGATACATATAGTTGGTGAGACTTATCATTGCTTGGCTTTGAGAACTCAGCTCATAATTTTCTGGGTCCTTTTTATCAAACAACAGGAGAAGTTACTGTAAGCTAGGTTCCTTCTAGATATTCAGGTGATCTTGTTATCAAGTTGTGCATTAGGCATAAACCAGAAAAAGCAGAATGATGGAGAGACTGTGAATGCTAAACTATGTGAATCCATTTCTGACATTTTGTTATATTTGACAGGCTTCCAAGTTTCACAACATCAGGGTAACTACAACGCCCCACAATTATCTATAGATGTAAAAGCCTAAGTGACTGTTCTACCAGTAGCAATGATGTACACTGACCACCAGGGGGCAGACGCTCAGTGCACAGGCATGGAAACATGGAACAGACTGATGAATCTCAGAGAGAAGGGGGAAGAGATTAACCAAAGATCTTATATGCATATACAGTTATATGCCAGGGGACCCCACCAGTGCATGAATCCATGCACCGGGACACTAGTCTTTAGTATTATAAAAGGATTTGGACTCTTTTTGACATATCCTGTAGTCATTGTATCCTAACTGAGGCATATTTTCTGGGTGCAACACCAGTGCCTGCATTCAGCCTACACACATGTATGAACCCAGAGGTTCTGAGTGAGGGGTTGGCTCAGTGTTTGAGGTTTAGAGAGGAGGTCAGGAGGTCAGGAGGCCAGAAATAGACTGTATAATTCAGTTGTTCTGTGGCATTCACATGAGAATCCCTTCTCACAAGAAGAGCATGTTTTGATTATGGCCCTATTAAGTAAACTCAGCATCATATGGTATTTCCTGGTCTTTCATTTCTGACATCACATCCACACCAGCTTAGAGCCTGGGTCCATGGGAGACATGCCTCGTCTTCCTCCACTTCCTGTGTGCATCGTCTGGCCACATAGAGCTCCTTTCAGCAGTCACCTGAGGCACCGTTTCAGATTTGCACCACCTTTTCTGCCCTGTCTTCATGACGCCACATTTTGTTATTCTTATGGGAGAGCATCAGTTATAAAGCTGAAGGACTTTTTTTTGTTTGGTTAGGATAGAGAAATGTCTTTTCCTCTATAATTAATTACAAGTACAAGGAGAGGGGGGCTCCTTTGAAATGGCTATCAGGGCTCCTCCTCTCCACTCCCCCTGTCTCACCCCCTCAACACATAAAATATCCAAACTTCCCTCAAAAGCAGCCTTGATAGGTGGCACATGACCCAGCGATTACATTTCCATGGGATATGTACTTTTGCTGTTGTGCAGATTATTCTTTTTTTTTTTTTTTTTCCCTTTCCTCCCTCCCGCCCACTCTCCTTCCTTCTCTCCCACAAATATTTTTTGATTGTCTTCCATGTCCTTGACAATGCTAGATGCTGGGCATAAAGGAATGTTTAAAATAGACACAGCCACCCTGTCTGGTTTGGTTCAATAAATAGAGCGTCGCTTATGGACTGAAGGATCCTGGGTTTGATTCCGATCAAGAGCACATATCTTGGTTGTAGGCTTAATCCTTGGCCCTGCTAGGAGAGTGCATGCAGAGACAACCAATCGATATGTCTTTCTCACATTGAAGTTTCTCTCTCTGTGTCTCTCCCTCTCCTTTCCACTCTCTCTAAAAATCAATGGAAAAATATCCTCCGGTGAGGATGAGCAAAAAAAATACCAAAACAAAAAATAGACACAGTCCATGATCACTGCCCTCATGTAGTTTTCTGCTGAAGATAAAACATTGACCACATAAACACATTAATAATTGTAGAACCACAAATGGTGCTAGGTTCTGTAGGGTAAAGGAGGGAAACACACTAGAGTGAGTCATTTGGATACAGGAGAGGCTAATTCATTTGGTGACTTGAGCAAGGCCCTTCTTTGGAGGTGACCATTAGGCTGAGCCTCGAGGAATGACTGAGAGTTAGCCAGGTAGAAAACGGAGGAAGAAAAGTCCAGGGAGAGGGGCCCACAGGGCAGGGGAGGCTGCTGGATTGCTTGGAGTTGTGTGAAGCAAGGGCCTTATGACAAGGTTGAAGACTTGACACTCCATCAGTGCGGCTGGAAGATAAGGAGCTGGGGAGAGTAGTAGGAATCAGGAACTTTATCATGGGAACTTTTCATTTATTCCAAGTACAGTGAGAAGCCTTTGAGAGACAGAAACCTTCTTGGTACGTGGTAGGCCTTCAGCCATTTAAAAGCAGCCAAGACAATTGTTGAAGGTGAATCCTGGCAATATCTAGGAGGAATGTAGATTACTTAAGAGGTATTTTTATTCCTATTTTTATTTTGTTTCTACTTATAGGAATCTGAGGCTCAGAGTGGGTAAGTTAAGTTGCTAGGTGACATAGCTAGCACTCAGCACACCCAGAATCCAGCTCCAGGTTTTTCTAATTCTTGATCTCATGTGCTTAACTGAGTTTTTTATCTAGTTATCCTAATGTTCATTTTTAATATTTGAAGAACCTGATACATATTAATTAATGCCCCACACCCCTGTCTATTAACTTACAAATTTTTTCTAGGTTTTCACTGTTTTGGTTAGCCTTGTGGTAAACATGTCTGTGGGCTTTTTTTTTTTTTTTTTTTTTTTTTAATTTTGGACTTGGAATCTTTCTGCAGTGCTGTCTTATTGTCAGGAGGGGGCAGCCCTCGGATTCTAATGTAGTCATCTGCTTGTGGGTGCTTAGCCTTTAAATCAGAAACTATTAATAGACTGATGAAAGCTTAGTGTATTTTTACTCCATTAAGTGTACACAACATATTTACTTGTTTCTGTTAAAATTAAGCATGACGGTAGCTGTTAATTATTTGAATATGTGGAGTTTAGTTGGCTAAAATGGAAATACTTCATTGAAATATTCATTGGATGAATGTGTTCACATACTAGGAAACTAGTTTGAACCTATGTTAAATTATTTTGAGGGTAGTGTAGCACATGCAGGCTGTGTTTTTCAACCTGAACTTGTTTCTATGGTATCTTCTTTCCCATATATATTCAGACATAAGCCCAGTGAATACAAGTGTTAGCTCTACAGAATGTTATTTTTTTATATCGTTAAAGGGGGCAAAAATCAAAACAGAAAAGTTCACCTGATATGGAAGTTCTTCGTTCTCGTTTCTCTGCAGGCTTCTTGACCACGAGGAGCACTTTACGGGAGGAGAGGATGACATCCTTGGGCCCGGGTACACGGAGGACTCCACGGATGTGTACAGCTCCCAGTTTGAAACCATCTTGGACAACACGTCCTTATATTACAGTGCTGAGTCCCTGGAGACATTATACTCGGAGCCCGATAGCTACTTCAGCTTCGAGATGCCCCTCACCCCCATGATACAGCAGCGCATTAAGGAAGGCGGCCAGTTCCTGGAGAGGACGTCGGTGGGGGGACAGCAAGACATCCTGAGCGTCTCCGCAGACGGCAGGATCGTGATGGGCCCTTCCAGCGAGATCACCAACGGGCTCAGCGGCGCTGGGGAATCCATCTACACGAAAGGCACCCCGGAGATTGCGTTCTGGGAAAGGTACTAGCTCCATCTCTGTTTTCATGCTGGTGGTCTTGTATCGTTTTCTCTTTGGGAAATCAGAGTGGGATATATTTGAAAAGCATTTGGTCTGTGGATATAAATGAATGATGTGAGTAAGACATAATTTGGGTTTGAGGGGCAGATAGAGCACCCTTTAGTGGTTTGCCAAATGGACAAGCTGCGGTCCCTCATTTATTGGATAACCGTATACACAGTGGCCACACCCCTGAGCAGGAGGAGTAGATGTTAGCTCTGATGACACAGCTTTAGAGGCAGAGCCTGGTGCTGGTAAAGGACACGGATAGGTCTCGGCTTTCATTCTGACACTGACATTGGTTGATGAGTTGGGCAGGTTGTTTGATTCAGCCAGAGATTCCTTAATGGGAAGCTGAAGGTGTGGATTAGATGGTCACCAAAGTCTCTTGCTGCCCTTTGCTCTGGAAGGTCTTTATTGCTGGGCCGGCAGGGCAAGGATCTGATTGTGTAGGTTCTGGAGAGAGCTGATACTTCGGTCAAGACTATACATACTCTTTCTATGTTAAGATTTGCCTACCTGGGAGATAAGATGATATTATGTGGGTTCTATGTTCCATACCTGTCATTTAGTGATCCCTATTTAAGGGTTACCTAGCACTTCATTTCCTCTTGCTCATCATCCTCAGGCTGTTTACTTGTTCTTTAACATCTCCATTGGTGGGCAGAGCTTGCTAAACTTCCCAAAGATTTTATGGACTTAGTTTGGACATAGTTTTCCTAAATTCAAGTGTGTTAGTGTGTGTTGGTGGAGGTGGCAGATAGGTTAAATAGAGATAAACTGTTTTAAAGCTCAGTGCTTTTATTAAATGTCAGTATTCATAGTATAGTTTTTCAGGGAATCTCTTTTTATGAGGGATTCATCTTAAATTAAACATTTTCTATCACCAGTTTGTTTATGGTTTATAGTTTGTTGGATGAGCACATTTAAGACTGGGACATTATAACATGTAGCTGTGCGTTTCCATGTGAAATGGACCACGGATGTTGGTTGTCTTCTTGGGTCACAGTGAGATAATGAAAAGAACACAGGTTTCAAAAGCAGAAAATGTTGGTCTGAATTTACTTGGGCAAGCCACTTCTCTCTGACACCTGCTTTATGTATTTGCAAAATAGGGTTAACGATCTCCAGTGCTCTGTGTGACTGTGAAATTTAAAAAGCTAATTGAGATTCAAATACTCAGCAGAGCCACGGTTGGTGTGGCTCAGTTGGTTGAGTGTTATCCCGTGCTCCAAAAGATGGCCATTTTGATTCCTGGTCAGGGCACATGCCCGGGTTACAGGCTCAGTTCTCAGTGGGGGAGGGAGGCGTGCAGGAGGCAACTGATTGATGTTTCTCTCTCTTTTATTCTCCCTATCTATATATCTATATCTATATCTGTGTGTGTGTGTATATATATATATATATATATATATATATATACACACATATATATATATAATATATATAAATTAAAAATATTGTAAAAATAAAGTACCCAGCAGAGTACCTGATATAAAGCAAGAACTTGAGTAAATGTATGACTCAGAACTGGATGCTGATAAGCCCACATTTAGACTTACTGTATCTCTGAGATGGGGCATCCCTGAGTGGAAGGTGCTACTGACAATTGTGATACAACGCTATATAGCACAGGCGATGCAGAAATTTTCACTGAAATTCCAATCCCACTTTCTGGGACAAGTGAAAGTTACTTTTATTACAGACCCAAATAGGTTGGGGAGCTGAGTGTCTTAAGCCAATAGACTTTCTTACAGAAGCCACAGGGAGGGTAAGTAAATAAAAATCTCAGAGTCAGAACAGGAAGGAATGGGGGAGAAAGTGTATCTAAAGTGTGGTCTGCTCTCTTGGATTAGGAAGTCATCATCCTTGGGGCCAGCTTAAGTGCCATCATTAGCAGGGCAGAGTTGGTTAAGGGGGTGTGGGGGTAGGTTAGAGTATTTTAGCACCTCAGGTTGAGACAGTGGTGTACTTCAGCCTTCTTGAGGTAAGGTTTCAGCTGCGTCATGCGCATTGTTGGACCATGAGATCTTGCCCAACTATAAGACTGAATGAGAAGCATCTTAGAGAGGGTCAGCCGAACTTCTCACCCAGCTCTGGGCACCTTTCCTCATGTATAGGTCTGTATTCAGGGTTAAAAAAGATAGGGCAGTCTCAATGATTTAAGAATTTTAAAGAAACTGTGATAACTTGCATGTAGTTGTTTTTTTTAACCCTCTCTGCCTCTTGGTGCCTTGGAGAAGTTGCCCCACCAGAAGAATTGTAATGTAGGTAGAAGGATTATGACATTTTCCAGCTTTTGAAGTGGGGCCTTAGATAGCCTTGTTTTACAGCCAAGAATCTGAGCACCAGTTTGGTGGGATGGATTTACCTGGTGATAGATTCTGTACCAGAATTCAAATGGCCTGCCTCCTAGACCAGGGATATTCACTATTTTAGCTGCCTGGTCTCATCTTTATCCTTTCATTTGATCTAATTTCTCTCAGTGCTTTATGTTTATAGAGCCAAAAGTCTGAGCTGGTGATTACAGAGCTGCTTTTTTGTTGTTGGTGGTGTGTTTCAGTTGGAGAAAAAATTTACCAAATCGTTAATAAACATGTCTCCATAAATTTTAAAGCAATCAATGAGCCGGCTTTTAAAAATGTCTTCTGCATTGAAGCATTCTTCTGCAGAGGTAAGGAGGCAGACACGGAGGTATTGAACCTATGAAGGGAATCCAGACTAAAACGCTGACTGCACAGTAGTGAACAGGATTGACTTCTCTCAGCCAAGACTCAGAGCTACAGGGGTAGGATTCAAGGAAAACAAATTTTAACTGTGTATCAATAAACGTGACATCTACCCAAGAAAAATAATAAACAAAACAAGGACACATGCCTAGCATTCTATATCTATTCACCAGCCCCTCCTGTTTTCTTGGCCCTGGACTGGGCAGGGCTGGGTGGGGGAGGAGACCTGACTGAATAGGATAAAGTAAACTCTGAAGAAGGAGAACAGGAAAGGGGATGATATCCATCTCCCTGATGATGCTTCTGTGATTCCAGCTTGACATGATCCAAGAAAATTAAGCCCATCCCTGTTGAGGTATTGATTTTAATGTTAGTTGACAGCCGTAGAAAATATTATAAAATACTTTAGGTAAGTCTCTAAACACAGTTTTATATCATATGCATCCCATAGGTTTTATTATTTAGTAAATACATGGTGCTTAATTCTCATTATAAGCTGGGAGAAAGGAACTATTAATGTCTTCATTTTCCAGACAAGGAAACTGAGGCACAGAACAGTTGAGCAACTTGCTCAAAGACACATAGATAGTAAGGGGCATACCCAGGACTTGAAAAGACATGTGTTTGGCATTGCTTATGTATATATATTTTTTAACCCTGTTCTGTTTCAGTAAGTGCTGTTAATTGCTGAAAATGATTTCAGTGGTAGTATTTGATTTCTCTTGAACTCAGGAGACACTGTTCTCCATTGCTGCTGCTTTAGAGAAAGGTAGAGTGTTTGGAAAGGTGATGAGGATGTTGAGCACATCTAGTTCCCCCTCAGGAAGTACCTTCCAGTCTGGGAGTGGCCTTGCTTTGCTGGCTAAAAGCTAGAGGGGGATGTTCTTCCCGATTACTCTCTCCACTCAAGTCACAGAAGGAAATATTCAAATCTGCAGTATTCTCATATCAAAAAGGACATGTCTTTTCTCATATTAGAAAGGACATGTTAAAAAGTACGTGTGCTCACTGTTTGTCTTTTAAAGGATTATATAACTTTGTGATACCACCAAGTTCACTAATAGTTCACTCTTCATAAAGTGAAAAGGTCTTTTAAGATCCTGGAGTAAATCTAGACAGGAAGAATTAAATTCTCTCAGGTGCTCCGAGTGCTCTGAGCACCGAGTGTGAGCCAGGGAACCGCATGTCCGCCAGGAAGTAGCTCGCCCTGTGAATGTAACACAATATTTTAATGAAGGAGCAGAGAGTAGCATCCCCTCCCTTTGTGGTCCAGATCAGAGCACTCAGGCTGGTGGGTCAGCGGTGCTGTGTGAAGTCCAGTCACATGGCTCCAAAATTAGAAAGGATAATTAAAGACTTACAGTAATACATGTTCCAATGGGTTCCTTTGTGTCTGGGTGCTTCTCTCTCGTCGGCCCACCAGCTGATGACTGCAACTTCAATCAGTAAGTTCTGACCCGGAGATCGTCAGGCACCGATGTTGTCATTATGACAGCGGAATATTGCCCATGTCCGTGGAGCTTAGGTTTGGACAGACAGGAAAAGAGAGGTAGCAAATATAGTGCTCTGGCAGAAGCTTCTCTTTTGGTTCTCTGAGATACATAAAACCTCCTTTTAAACTGACCTTTTCAGTATCATAGATACATTTTATGTCTCAGCCTCCCAGCTTTTCTCTCGGATATGGCTGAGGATACCGAATGCTCAGGAGACAGAGGAGGTGGATTACATCTGTGTGCCACTGATATGCCTGAGGAGAGCGCTCCGCAGGACTTGGGTCCACTCTGAATTTGATAGTTGTGGTTTGGTGCCTTCCTCTTGTTTTTTCCCCCTTCTCAAGAGGAATGCTGGCATTTAGAAGGATCCTCTTTCTTCCTCAGCTAGTCTCTCTCGTTAGTGTCTTTCTGCCTGGGAAAAAAGTCACATGAGACAAGATGAATACAGACGTTTGTTGATGTATGATTTCTATAATTTTTTACATCCCCAATTTAAAACCTGCAGGCATTTTACCGGCTTGTGTAAATACTAACATCACGTGGTCTAGTTAAGAAGCGGGTGCCAGAGGAACAGATTTTGATCTTGTAAAACTGCCTTTGGAGAGCCTGCTGATGATGGAGCTTCCGGCTCCCAGCTCCGGCTCCTCTCATTCAGAGCAGGAGGCTCTGCCGCAGGATTCAGCACTGGTGGCTGTGGCTCTCCGGTCTTTTCAGTTTCATTCTTTCACATTTTAAAACTTG